TTATCTCAAGAAAACAATGTACTTGAAAAGGTAATAGAGATCATCAGTTTATATGGGCTAATGATTAAGGTTGTTTGGGGTGAATATAAAGTGGTTATAGGTTATAATCCAGTACAATGCATTTAGGGGATTATTTTTATTATCTTAGAATATAAATATTCTCTAATTATATTTGATCATTTGCTGTTTTAAGCATCTGCTGCTGTTTATACCTGTGGTCCCCCAAATGTGCCAAGGTGCTCAGGGCATTGCAGCAAATTCAGGAGTGCTCTGGAATATTTTAAAATTCCAAGGGAACCATGATGACCTTAGCATCTGCGAGACACTACGCAAAATACTTATTTGAGGGAGTTCACAGTTTCAGCTTCATGCTGCTTCCTGCAGTACAGTGACAAGCTTCGGGAAACTGGAACTGCAACAGTCATGTCAAAAAAAACAAAAACAAGTACCACTTGAAAGTCAGTGTGGATCCAGAAATGAGGGTGGTGGTATCCAATCCAAAAATTCATGCAGGGCTCAACATAATATAATTCTATCCATGAGATTTCCCAGGCAAAAATACTGGAGTGGGTTGTCTTTTCCTTCTGCAGGGTCTTTTCCTGACTCACAGATCAAATTGATGTCCCTTGCATTGGCAGGCCAATTCTTTACCACTGAGCCACCAGGGAAGACCCATTAAGTATTATGTGGATATAATATATATTTTATAACTATTGCTGATAGCTTACATGTACATTTTTGTCATAGGGTTTTTTTTTAAGTATTAAAGTATCTAATTTTTAGAACAAGCAATTCTTCAACATGATTCAAAAATCAAAAAACATAAAAAGAGGACTTCCCTGGTGGTACAGTGGATAAGAATCTGTCTGCCAAGGTGGGGGACATGGGTTTGGTTCCTGGTCCAGGAAGATTCCACATACTGAGGAGCAGCAAAACCAATGAGCCACAACTTCTGAGCCTTTGCACTCTAGAGCCCTCGAGCCACAACTACTGAGCCTACTTGCTGTAACTACTGAAACCTGTGCACCTAGAGCTCATGCCCTGCAACAAGAGAAGCCACTGCAAAGAGAAACCCGAACCCCACAATGAAGAGTAGCCCCCCGCTTGCCAAAACTAGAGAAAGCCCAAGGGCAGTAATGAAGACTCAGTTCAACCAAAAATAAATAAATTAAATGAATTTTTTTTTTTAAAAAAAGGCATAAAAAGGAACACAGTGAGAATTCCCCCCATCTTGGTTGATGGCAGCTCCATCTTCTGACTGTTTAGACCAAAGCCTTTTAGACCAAAGTCTTTCTGACACTCCCCCATCCAGAACTGCAGAAAATCACATTGTCTCTACTTTCAGTAAATACCCACAATCTGATTCCCCATCTCTAACTACACAGTTGTCATCATGGTCAAAACAGGCTATTACAGGAATTCTCTGGTGGTCCAGTGGTTAAGACTCTGGGCTTCCACTGGTGGGGGCCTGGGTTCCATTCCTGGTCAGAGAACTAAGATCCTGCATGCCATGCCAAAACAAGAACGGGAACAACAAAAACCAGGCAGTTACTACACTTCCTTGTAACTGGTCTCCCTATTTCCATGCTTGTGCCCCTGCCCCACCCCCATGATCTTTTTAAACCCTGAGTTAACTGATTTCATTGCTTTATCACCCAGAAGCTGCAAGGGCTCCCCTATCTCTCAGAGTAAAAGCCAGAGTCTTTCTAGTGACAAGCAAGGCCCTACAGAAACCACTTCCCCTTACCTGTAACCTCAGCTCTTACTGTCTCTCCCCTCGTTAATCTGTTCCAGCCACACTGGCCTCCTTGTCCCAAGCATTCCAGGCATGTCCCCACCCCAGGGCCTTTGCACTGCCACATTAGATCTCATCTTCTCCAAACCTTGGCCTCCTGGAATCTACCCTATTTTAAATAGTTCAGTGACCCTCACAGTTTACTGACGAGCATTCTCTAGTTTTTCTGTCCTACTCTTTCTCCTTTTCCTATAGCCTTTTAACCTAGTAGATCATTTGTTTCTAACATGGTACTTTACTAAGTTTATTGTTTTATCTTCTGACTCTTTCCACTGAAACAGAAGCTCCAGAGGGCAGGCATCTTAATCTGTTTTGTTCCACCATGTAACCCAAGCTTCTGGAAGAATAATACTTGGCAATAATAGGTGTGCAACAAATACCAAGTGAATGATATTCAATATGTTGTTTAAACCCCTAACCTTCATTTTGTGTCTGTCTGAACTATATCAATAAAAGTATATGCAAATGTGCCTCTTTAATAACGGATTGCCCATTTTCCCTGAGGTTCTAACAATTTTTGCTCTGTACTCTCAGATTAATTAAGTCCTTATACCATAGGAATCTTGTCTTCCTGGCTAACTGAACCTTTTATCACTGTGTCCAGACCTTCTTTGTCCTCAGTAATGCTTTTGTCTTAGAGTTATTCATTTATTTGATATTAATAAAACTAGGCTAGCTTTCCAGAAATTTTTAGTACTATTTAATATATTTTTTCTATTCCTTAAGTTTTGATGTATTTGACAACTTATGTTTTTAGTTGTCTCATGCACATCACTTATAGTTTTTAATTCATTTTGACAGGCTTTAGTTTTAACTGCTAGTTTATTTATGCCTGTTGTGATTATATATATATATCTCTCTCCAGATTTATTTCTATCAGTAACTTTCTATTTGTCCCACTTTTGCTGTGCAAAAAATTTTTTTCTTCCTGCTTGTGTTTCTTTTTTTTTAATTGAGTTTTCTTTTCCTACTCTGTTTTTCTGTTTGGAAGTTATATACTGTGTTTCTTATTCTTTTAATATTTGCCTTTAAACTTATTGCATAATACTTAAAGTCTACAGTTAACTTCTTGCCTCTCCTCCTGAACAGAACATGAGCACTATAACCACTATTCTTTATTTATTTTTAAGTTTTTGACTGTGCCACACAGCATGTGGGATCTTAGCTCCCTGTCCAGGGATCAAACACATGCTCCCAGAATTGGAAGCTTGGAGTCTTAACCACTGGACCACCAGGGAAGTCCCTTCTTTATACATTTTATACATAGTCTTAATTTACTATTCTGTGTCTGATTGTTCTACTAGCTGAAGTCTTGAACATAATATCAAGTTTTCTGTTAACTCTCATTTCTTTGTGACCCCAAATTTGATTGAACTTCATCTGTGGGAATCCTGAAGGACTGGTTTGGAATGCTTTCTTCCAGGCACCGTTTGCATTTATTTCCACTGGGCGTTGGGACCACTTTTGCTTCTTTCAAGAGTTCTAGCTTAGTGCTGAAGTCTTGGGTTGAGCTCCCCAGCTATCCTTTGACCCAAACTGAAATTGGCATTTATCTTCACAGAAGCCCCTCCTTTCAGGCTTACTTAATGGTTTGCACATGCCCTATGGATTAAACTCAGTTTAGGGGAAGGAGCGCCTCTTAACGATTTCCTATACTTTCTATGAACCCAGCAATGGGTTAACAACTCTGATGTATCAAGAAACTCATTTTGTTTTTTGTTTTTGTAACTAAGAACCCCTGCCATGTATCTTCGATTTACTTTGCAAAGATATCACTTTGCTGACAACAAGGTCCATAGAGTCAAAGCTATGGTTTTTCCATTAGTCATGTACAGATGTGAGAGTTGGACCAAAAAATTGATACTTTGGAACTGTGGTGCTGGAGAAGACTCTTAAGAGTCCCTTGGACTGCAAGGAGATCAAACCAGTCAATCCTAAAGAACATCAACCCTGAATATTCATTGGAAGGACTGATGCTGAAGCTCCAATACTTTGGCCAGCTGATGCAAAGAGTTGACTCATTGGAAAAGACCTTGATACTGGGAAAGATTGAAGGCAATGAGAAGAGGGTGGCAGAGGATGAGAGAGACAGATAGCATCACCGACTCAATGGACATGTATTTGAGCAAACTCCAAGAGATAGTGAAGGACAGGGATGCCTGCAGTCTGTGGGGTTGCAAACTTAACGACTGAACCCATAAACCTTTAACATGATTTTTATTACTAGTAACCAGGGAATTATCACTTGGGAGCTAAATGCAGAAATAATTAACGAAGGGAAGGTTCAGCTTTTTCAATCAGGTGTCAAAAGCTGTCCCAGCCATTCATGGGAATGTAAACCGAGATGGATTAACCTCTTGTTCTCTCTCTGTAACCACGTAGAGATGTGCCTTGGTCTTGACCCCTGTCCAGCCCACTTCCCTGTCATCTAACCCCATGGCCATATGTTTCTTTTCTTTTCTCGCTGAAGGTTCCTCTTCTGGTAAATTCATGTCCCACCCTAATATTTATTTTTAAATTAGGTCCCATAAGAAAGGTAAACCCCCATGGATGACAGTGTTGCCTTTTGAGTACCTCCAAAGTATAAAGAAGTAGTCATAATTCAACAAATTATTTCTTTATGTGGCTATGCTGGGTCTTAGTTGTGGCACCAGGGTCTTCGATGTTCATTGCAGCAGGTGGGTTCTAGTTCCCTGACCAGGGATCAACCCAGGCCCCCTGCATTGGGAGCAGGAAGTCTTAGCCACTGGACAACGAACAAAGGAAGTCCCTCCACAAATATTTATATCAGAAGTTAAAAGGCCCTCTTTATCAGATAGTATTTACAGAGGGAAGTTGCCCTGGACATGTGCTCAAAGGAGCTCTGGGTTGAGGCTCTGGAGAGGACGTGGGCGGATGGATAGAGAGGAGCCGGGACGCCTGGCTGTGAGGGTTCACCCCCCCCAGAACCCCTCCCTTGCCCCTGCCATCCCGGAGGCCGGTGCCAGACAGGGATGAGCAGGGGAAGTTGGAGCTGGGTGTGAGGTGGGAGACCGTGGTGGTGGCTGAGGAGAGAGAGAGGGAAGCAGCTGCAGGATGGGAACAGGGAGGAAAGTGGTCTGGGAGGTGCAAGCATCCACCAGGTTTCCCTGGTAAAGGACGTGTTCAAGATAAGTGCTTCCCACCTAGGTACTAACGACCTGTGCCGTTTATTTTGTTTTCCTAGATCAATGAACTGAGCCATGTTCAAATCCCTGTTATGTTGATGCCAGATGACTTCAAGGCCTATTCGAAGATAAAGGTGGACAATCACCTTTTTAACAAGTAAGACAAGCACGACCTTTTGTAGAACTGACGTGGCTGCCAGGAGTGTGGTTTTTGTGAATTTCTATAATCACATTATTTTTCAATGGGTGGGAGTAAAGTTTTGCTGATGAAGTTAATCCTGTGATAAACATAACCATCTGTCATTTTCAGAGAAGCAACAGCAGGCCCTCTTGGGTAATATCTTTTTGCCATATGGCATATTGTTCTCTATGAATATCTTATATGTTAAAAGTGATATTCTCATTACAATTTAAATGTTTGAAGCTGTAAATTGCTTGGAATTTTTTTTAGCAGCTATAGACCTCAGCTATAGACCTTACACAAAACTCTGCTGATGATTCCTTCATGAACAGAAATGACTGCTTCCTAGAACAATAAGGAATTAAGGTGCATTTTTATAAAATGTAATTGGAAGCCATGTTGGGCATTGAGGCTATTTCTCCCTCTTTTAAATGTCATTTTAGACATCATTAGGGAGCACCTTCTGTGGCATCACACCAAGAGCCGGACATACAGGGATGGATAAGAAATATCCTGCCCTGCGATTTCCCCGGTGGCCCATGGATGGGACTTTGCCTTCCAATGCAAGGGGCACAGGTTCAATCACTGGTCAGGGAGCTGAGAGTCCTACATGCTTCAAGGCCAAAAAATCAAAACCTAAAAAAAAAAGCAATATTGTAACAAAATTTGGTAAAGACTGTAAAAATGGTCCACATCCAAAAAAAAAAAAAATCTAGAAAAAAATTTTTTTAAAAAAAGAATACTCTGCCCTCAGGGTGTTCACAGTCAGGCAAGTGATTGAAAATGGACACATGTATAAATTACCATCACTTCCTGTCATTTGTGCAGAGTACTAAGGGGTGTGTGTATGTGTGCATGTGTGAACAAAAAGGAGGAAGCAATTCTGAATGAGTGGGATGAACCCCAGAGAAATCTCTCACGTGAGGATCAACTGTGAAATTTCTTAATAGGGCCATTGTTCTAATGAAAAGCTGCTGTGTTAATTATTCTCATAATGCTCTTTAAAGGTTGACCTTTTAAGGGGGGATCTTTCCATGTGAATTTAGAATTCTGTATTTACATAAAAGATAAAACAGGTCAAGCCAGGAGTGAGAGAAGGTCTTGTTTTGTAAGCTTTAGTCAGAAGGTAACCTATTAGAGGGCTTCCCTTGCGGCTTAGCTGATAAAGAATCTGACTGCAGCGTGGGAGACGTGGGTTCAATCGCTGGGTTGGGAAGATCCCCTGGAGAAGGGAAAGGCCGCCCACTTCATATTCTGGCCTGGAGAATTCCATGGACTGTATGGTCCATGAGGTCGCCAAGAGCCGGACACGACTGAGGGACGTTCACTTCACTCCCAGCTGTTAGAATGTGGGGAGCATCATTGCACCCTGCTGCCCTTCCCTCACCCTCCAAGCCTCTTGCTTCCCTTTCACTGTTTCCCCTGACTGTCTGTCCCTTCTGTCCCCGGGTCTTACTGTGGGTTGTAGCAGCTACAGACCCCAGTTCTCTTACACAAGCGAGTTCAAGCGAGTTCGCGTCTCACTTGAAGCCCATCTGTGGGTGGGGAGCTCCACGCACGTCGTTGGTTGCAGGTGAGCAGGATGGTGGCAGATTCACTGTTTGTATATCTGAACTTTATTCCACAATCTGACTGTTTCAGAGAAAACATGCCGAGCCACTTCAAGTTTAAGGAATACTGCCCCATGGTTTTCCGTAACCTGCGGGAGAGGTTTGGAATCGATGATCAGGATTTCCAGGTGAGTTGCTTTCATAACATTTATTTCAAATGGGTTTCACTCATGTCTTTTGCTCCGTAAAATAGAATTCATGTTTTTTTCATGTCAAGTAATTACATAATAGTAACTTTCATTTTCTATAAGAATTTTTAAGTGTGCTTTCTGAAATAAAAGATTCTTTCGGTTAGGGCCTGTTAAACAGTATGATCTCATTGTAATTTCACTGCATTTTTTCTGAGGCCCCCGTAGGGCCCTGTGGTGCAGAATGGTTTAGTGACCGGAGCACCGCTGTCACCAGCCGGAGCCCACCAGTCCTCGGGACACTTCTGTGCCTGCGACCTCCTTCTGCTCTTGCGACCTACCACGTGAAGACGTGCCCTGTTGCTTTCCTCCCCACGTCTGCCCGGTTGTCAATTTTGACTTCTAAAATCAAGCTCATGGGCTGTTGGATCTGCTGATGCACGGTCATTTCTCCTGAAAGTGCACCTGGCATCAGTTGACATGATCTTCAGAGAGCCGGCCAGATTTGTAAAGGCCAGGGATATTTCTTAAGAGCAGAAATCTAAGAGCAGGAGATACCAGGGCTGCTTCCTGGTCTTTCATGACAGTCCAGTCATTTTATTGTGTGAATACTGACTTATTAAATGTAGTTAATTAATTAATTTCCACTTTTTGGCCACACCACGTGGCTTGTGGGATCCTAGTTCCTGGACCAGGAATGGAACCCCGCCCTTGGCAGTCAAAATGTGCACTCCTAAGGCCTGGACTGCTGAGAATTCCTGTACTGATTTATTTTAAATCTAGTAAACACTTTCTCTAATTTGCCCCAAACCAGAAATTCTAACTTATCCTGCATCACATGTCCTATTCCCTGGGTGACCTTGCAAGGTGATGATTGACACAGCTTATCCTGTACTTTCTCTTAAAGAATGGATCCCCAAGGCAAGTCAAGCTAATACATTTTCCTATACATCTGTGGCCTCCGCATCCTGTCCCACTATTGAAAGTTTTCAAGAATTTCTCATAGGCTCATTCACGCCTGAGAAGCCTTCAAACCACCATGTTTTGAAAAAGGATCCCTAGGTTGGGAAGGTCCCCTGGAGGAGGACGTGACAACCCACTCCAGGAATCTTGCCTGGAGAATCCCATGGACAGAGGAGCCTGGCAGGCTAGAGTCCATAGAGTTGCACAGATTTGGACACAACTGAAGCGACTTAGCACACACACACACAACGCTGGCCAGGCTGCGGGTGACATTCCCTCTTCTGTGGACCAGGCCCAAGTGTCCCCGGAGGCCCAGGTTCTGAGCAGAGGCTCCAGTGCGCCCCAGAGGGGGTGGAGGGGAAGCCTGCAAGGAGGATGTGGTCACGAGGTTCGCTTTTAAAAACTGAGGTGGAGCCAGCATTCACGTGTGGGCTTTGTGTGTAAGAGAGAAAGAACTTCAGTCACACTTGGACTTGACATTTACTGCTGCAAAAGCAAGTCACCTTTAAAGAATAAATTTTGGAATAGTAATATATTGGAAGATATATATATATATAATATATTTCATATAAAATAAAAAGGAATAATTCTCCATTATGTAAGAATTGTTAATTACATTTCAAGAGGCCATGTGAAAATAAACTGTGTACTTTAAAAAGAATAACAACTGATGACTGACTTCCTAAGAAAATCTCCTCTGATTCTCTGAAGCTGCATTCAAGTGTTTCTTCCTTTGTCCATCTCCCCCTGCCCTTTTTTTTTTTTTAATTTTAAATAGCTACACTGGCGTTTCACAGAAACTGACTTTCAGGGCCAGTGCAATAGGATCTTGTTAGATTCCTCAACTCATTACCACAGTGAAGTCATATTTCTTCTGAGAACCAGCCCTGTTTAAATGAGATCTAAAAGGGGCCCATTAGATCCTTAGTTGCTAAAATATTAGGACACTAGGCTGGTTTCCCTCTCTCTTCTTCCTTAAAACAAAACCATGTAAGTTGGACATTTAAGTAAGGGCAAATAGCTGAGTACAAACTTTGAAGGCAGATTAGGCAACTGGAGGGTGATTCACATGTAACTAATTGGCAAGTCTGTTAGGCTCTTAGTGTGAGAGATCAGTACAAGGGAAAACCAGTGTGAGTGTAATTAATTAATCATTTGAACACCACTCCTTCCCTCAGCCATGTTTGGTGCTTTTGGCATTTAGATTGCTGCTTTCTCTTTGGCAACTGTATTTTTTTTTTTTAAGTGGGTGTTTAAAGTAATTCCCGTAAACCAGACATACGCAGTTCCTCCGCATCCACGGATTCCACCTACTGCAGGTGAAATTGTGGTTGGTGGAATCTGCGGTTACGGAATCAACAGGTAAGGAGGGCCGAGAGTTCAGGCCTCCCTCCCCGTTTCTGTGTTCATTTCTCAACGTCTATACCTCTTAAAATACTTTCAGCCGGGGGCAGGGCCCCTAACTGAAGACAAGATCTTATATGTGAGGCTCAACCCACTTTATTGCCTACTCGGTTTGGAAAAAGGGAGGAACTTGTGCCAACTCTGGCTCTGGGTTGGTGCCTCCGGGCGCCTGCACACACTTAGCTGGGCACACAGAGGTGCTGCGTGCACGTCGTGGGAGGGCAGTGCCTCGTGGGGGGGTGGGGGCGCCGCGTGGGACCCGGACGGAGGGGAGGTCGTGTCAGCTCCTCTGTTGTGGAGTCACTTCTCCCGGGACAGTTCATTCATTGTGGCCAGAGCAGGTAACAGTTATCAATTGTCACCTAGTATCAAGCTGAACTCTCTTTTCCCAGTCTGATTTGGAAACTGGGATCAATGATCCGAAGTCTCGTCTTTTGAGACTCTGGATTGCTCAAGTGGCTCAAGCCCCTCCCTGTTCCCCTGGCCTTGCTGGGTTTATTTTTCTGAAGTGCTTGCTTATTGGACAAAGGACTTTTAAATCTTTGTGTAGTAAAGGAGTCCACCGTCCAGTTCACATTCAAACCTTCATATTAAATCAAACGCATAAATGTTCACCACCTGCTTTGCGTTTGTAAATGCGGTTTTGCTGCACCTGAAAACAGGTCAGTGTCGATCCATCTGATCAAAGTAGAACATAGTGATTAAACAACTGACCTCCTCAGCCAACTTCTAAAACTGAGAAGCTTCCCTGCTGTCTCCATAAACATTTGTTATCTTTCCTTTGGTTTTGAGTCCTTGAATGTCTTTTAAAAGATAGAACTCCTTCCTGCTGTTAAAGTCAAGCAACTGTTCTAGAACACTCATTGTTAACAAGAGTATCACTTAACATACATATGTAAACCTGTGTGTGTGTGTGCGCGCGCGCGTATGTATGCCCAGTGCTTCCAGATTCAGAACCTTTCCCAACTTATTAGTGCTTGTTGAAATTACTTTGGTTTGTGATATGCTCAGAGTTGATATATATTCTTCCGATCATTGTTGGAACAATGTCTCTCCATGATCATTCTTTTAAGATGTCTTTCAAGAGGAATGCCCCCCCAGAAGCCTCCACTGTTACTGTTGCTATGGTTTTTGTTTCTTTGATCTCTGCCACGTTAAGCTCTAGTCCCCATAGGTGGGTGTTTTCATGCACAATTATCAACTCAGTGTATTTATTTGCACCTACTGTGTGTCAGGCTCTGTGATAGACATAGGGAATGCAGAGGAAGAGAAAGGATGAACAAATTCCTTTTGAAAAAAACTGATTACATGACAGATTCTGTAATGGATGCTGATGAGATTTACAGAAACCCAGATGTCTTGATTGTTAATGTTCTTCAAGAAAGAAGAACAGCATCCCTCTTTGCAGTCTCTGAGTACTGGAGCCTGTTAATGACAGGCCCAGCAAGTCAGCTGGAGACTTCAGTTAAAATTTCTGAGCTGCAAAAGAGGATAGCTCAGTGGAAACCAAAAAGTTAGGCAGGATTGCAATGGGGCAGTTAAAGTTAAATACACCACATAATGGAAACCCAGCCCTCTGGCTCTTTGTGAAGGATAATACCAGGCTTGCTTTTCCCCTGCCGAGTCTCCTGAATTAGAATCTCTTATTATTCGCATTTGATGCATTTTCCTCTTTGTATTGGTAACAGAGGATTCTAATTTTAAAATAATTTTAAAAGCTAACGTTTTATTAAACTTTTGATGTTCTTATTTCCAGTTCAAAAATAAAATTCTCAAGTGTCAAAGACCTTTAGTATGTACTAAACTTGGGGAAAAAAATTCTACCATTATCTCTAATGTCTATCACGGTGTTTGTAGTTTTCCCAAATATAATTGAAACTGTCTGAAGGCGGAAGCTGACTGTAGCTTGTTTACCAGGGTTGCAGGTACAGGGGTGAGCACCAGCCTGGCTCTGGACAGTTAAGAAACATTTGAGGAAGAAAGGGAGGAAGGGCTGAGGGGATATTCCTACGAGAAATGAGCCTCTGAACCAAAATGTGGAGGCCAGAGCCAGATGGTGGTGGGCTAGTGGAGAGAAAGAAGGGAGCTCAAAGTGGGAACTGGGAAAAAGACCTCCAGTGGATTCTCCAGCCAAGAGCAGGAGGATTTTTCAAGGTTGACTTATTTTTTTGTCCGTGGTGGGTCTTCGTTGCTGCACCAGGCTTTTCTCTGTTGCGGTGCGTGGGGGCTGCTCTCTAGTTGCGGTGCGAAGGCTTCTCATTGCGGTGGCTTCTCTTGTTTCGGAGCTGGGCTTGGTAGTTGCAGCACATGAGGGCTTAGTTGCTGGGCAACTAAGCAGATCGAGGCGGTTATGTGTAGAATACATCAAAGGGAGGTAGAGAAATTAGGAAGCTACGAAATTCCCCAACAAGTGAAGAGGCCTGAACCAGGGCACTTGGCACAGACAGGGTTGAGCTGAGAGCAGCTTCACAGGACGGGGAGAAGGGAAAGCCCAGGATCAAAGGACAGGAGCCACGGTGTCGGATCCTGAGAAAGCAGGAGTGTGGGGGTGCCGGTCACCAGGGGAGGGAAGTGTGGGCGTGGCCGGGGTGGGGAGGAAGTTGAGTTTTTAGCCTGTGAATGTGGAGGTGCCT